TTTGTATATAAGACACACGTCGGACATCATTATTCTACTTTTTAAGGTCGTGATATTGAAATGTTGTCTAATATGATCATAGTTTCCGTCACGTACCGGAGTGCCGATTTTAAAACATAATCTCTTCAGGAATCTATTTTATACACTTTCAATTCGATTTATGTATGTAATATACTAAGGGTTCCATATAACGGAAGAAAAGTTCAACTTGTTATAAATATATGCATGTTAATATAGGGATGTGATGGCTCTTGCACTCTTGAAATCCCTGCAGATTCTACAGATAAATCCCAACATTTTGTTTGATTCGCAAATCAGGTTTTCTATGTGTGCTTGGAAAGTCATTTTTGCATCTAGATTTAGATCTATTTAGAGCAAATACGCATGACACCTTTTTTCACATACCTGACTTAATCATGATATTGCTGGTGTCGTTTGGTTTTCGTGCATAGTAACTCAATAATGAATGCCTTTAGGAAGTATGAACCAGTAGCATACAAGAAACCACAACAAACTACGTCTGTCTATATCTTAAATGGACAACAGAATACCTAGAAATAGTCACCTCCTTGAAACTGACAATAACAACGTTATACCTCAGCTTACTCTCACTGGTGGGGGTCTATCAGTCCAATATTTTCTTTTGACATCAACGACTCAATGTTGATTACAATAAACGTTCGACATGTTACCAGAAGCATCAACATGGTGTCCACTACACTACCCCAGGGCTACGTTCGTAAATTGTTGCAGATTGTACTTTGTACTTGTAACAATTTTAGCGTTCGTAATTGTTTGACGTACCTGTTACTTGCGTTCGGAAATAGAAAAAAGTAATCCTTCTGAAACGTCAAAAGTGTGCTTTTTCTCCCGAGCTCAAAGAGTTCTGTCATTTGTCATTTTCACGGTTCATTTTATTTGGTTATCAAAAACTGCTCAAGAATGGCAGAATGTATATTGTTCATGATGAATGCTATCTCGTATCACTAGAGTCTCTTATAATAATTACAATGGTCGCAAAAAACGTGGTTAGGAATTAGTCGGCTATCATCAAGTGTCATTACATGACTCTGTAATAATTTAGGCGTTCTAAAAATAAAGTTCCACAGTATTCCAGAGTAAAATTTCATCTGTCAATGTATCATAGATACATTCCATTACTATGTACGGTATTACATTACCAAGTGATTTACAAACGCACCCCTGCTCGAGCTATTGTGAGGAGGCTTTGGGGTTTTCAAAAGCGTCAGTAGCTGAAAATTCAATTCAAGCAGTTTATAGATGCACTTAGTGGACAGTTCATCAATTCACTTTACTATATACCTATTGACTACAAACTTTGATTTTAGCATCTGTTTATACTCCGCAGTATGATGTTCTAATTTTCACTCATGATTACGTGCCACAAACATTTCGCAAAGTCCTTCAGTGGAACGGCTCTGGCCATCTTACTCTTGTCCTACATAAACTTACCTCTTTGCATTTCACCGCAACGAACTTTGATATTTTGGTATACGCTTGCCGCACTTGACTAATTCATTTAGGTGTAGGTCGGTTTTACATAGACGAATTTGCTAAGAGAGGACAACCTGCGGCATTGGCGGCATAGCTTTATGGTGAGATTAATGTGTTTTGGAATTACCCTGATAGTTAAGTAATTTATTATTTATTGCAGCATCCTTTCTCTTATGAACTACAGCAAACCATATCTATATAAAGAGTGTTCTTACAGTTGCGACTTTATAGTTTTTGTGAAAATAAGCAAATTTTCTTTGTTACACAAAGGCCAAAGTCTTAAGACTTAACTTTGTTATTGATAAAACCTATCTTGCAGCTTCATGCTGATAAATATCCGTGTTTTTCTAGTCGTCAAATGGAACCACATATGTCAAATTGACGTTTCCTAACGTGGGCTTTCTTCATAGTGAAAGCAAAAAAATGACGTCAAGTAGGTTGACTCTGCACTTCCACGCAACGCTGTCATCAGTTGATAAAGTGCAGCACAAGTTTAGCCCTCCGAGAGAAAAATATTTACAAAAATGTCCAATAGAGAAATTAAGCGGATGAAGTCGGTCAAACAGGCCCATGCAATTAACCAGTATACATTGTTTCCCTGTCCTACCGGCAGTTACCGTCTATCTGACAATGTTACCTGAAGAAGCAAGAGCACCGTTACGCGTATCGACAACAATTGTCTATCTTTGAAAGTGAAACCTGAAATATGGCTAATACGCGGGTAGAATCGGGGTTGCGAGCGTATTAATATACTAACGTCCAAAAATAGAGATTTACTTACTCTCCTCCATCCCGCTACTACCACCCACCCCCTAATATTTTTACGAAATGATCCTCAAAATCCTCTGAAACGCAAAAAAACAGTTTAAGCGATTTTAATTTTTTTTTGTTTTTGACCTTTTTCTTCACCGCCGCAGCATGGATTTTGCAAAACCGACAACGCTTTTTCGTCCTTTGCGTAGTAGTAACCATTTGTCCAAATCAGAGCAGTACTTTCCAAGTTATAGAGCGGCCAAGAATTACTGGACAGACCGACAGACAGACGGACGGAAACGCCAGCTTTGCTCTTTCAAACGTAATTGTCTCTGAAAAGAAAAGCTTTTAGACTACCCTGTGTAAACTAAGGGCAACATTACCACTTACATATTAACAATGACCATTATGTCAACAATTAAGCTTTAAAAGTACTTGAACATCTGTATAGTGCGGTGGTCACAGACAAGTAGCGTGTCAGTTTTGGTATTTTAGAGTTAGGTTTCATGTTTTGTAAAATACGTTAGGTATGCTGTCAGTTAATTGTCAAGTAGTAGCGGTTGTTTGGATTTTTCCAAGTTTCGCGAAGTTTGAAGAATTCTTGAGTTTTCTAGAAAGTGATTTATTTGCATATGTTACTAGGGTATGTAAATGAGTATAGAGTTTTAGGTCGAGGCTAAGTAAGTTAAATGAGTTTTTCAGCGAATAAAACCTGACAAATCGAGAACCATTTCATTTCAGCTGCGACAAGGAGAGACCATTCGTGAAAATATATAAAATACTGTCACTAAAAACTTCCAATACATACTTTGTTCTGAAAAAACACTATTTTATTTAAATAGTCATAAGCAAGACGAAGTCGTTATTTAATTTTGGAGCGAAAACATTTGCTGTGTTGCCAGTGGTCGGGGCATGTTTCTTATGAGGCGATTTATGTTTTTTTTCGAGCAATTTCATTTTAAACTAACTGTACTTGGTTCCGCAGTTCTGCGTTTTTGGAGGATAAGGTATTCTACCCACACATATTCAATAGGCAGAAGATCTGGAGATCTAGGAGGCCAAGAAAAGAGGTAGTCCACAGTAGTTCTAGCAATATGGGAACAGAAATTATCTTGATGGAAAAAGGTGTTCTAAAGTGTTGAAGAAATTGCAAAAGATAAGTTTCCAACATCTCCTGGATACGCCATCATATCTCCCCTACCGGAAACTTTACATTAGGTCTTTCTCTCAGACGCTTCTGACTGGTGTCCGTCATTACGAATTCCTAAGCAAAGAGACGGAAGGCGTTACAGAAAAAAAACTTGTGGAAGTTTTCCGTTGAAAGTCTTATGTACTGAAGGAGTCATAGTTTGAGGCATCATCACACATGGTGCTGATCCATCTCTACTTTTCGTTAAATAATGCCCGCCTCGTACTTCTAAAGGTACAATTAACTACCTTTACAACGCTCAAAGCAGCCTCCTAGATCTCCAAACCTTCCGGCTATTTAGCATGTGTAAGGTATGATCCACAAACACTAGGAGATCTTCGAAATCGAGCACAGCTAGGTATGAACTCCCCACACAATCCAGCGATACACCGAGAGTTTTCACTCCAAGACTTCACCTCATTTGTTCTTGCTTATATGTTACTGTATATAAATTTTACTCGAATCAAATCATTTCTACTGGGTGTTCAATTCTCTTTGTATAGTTCGTGTGAATCTCTTATTGTATGAAAAATACGACAATCCTAAGCAATGCGTCCAGTATAGCTAGAGCCACCGTCTTGGTATAACATAATTCTTGTGAAGCAATAGACACACAGAGGATACAAATAATGCACCTACTACAACATGGTTAGTCTAGATGGAAGCGACTCATAGCCTCTTGATAGGCAATAAAAAGTGCTCGCAGTAGCACAGTAGCAGTAAATACTCGATCTGATGCTGAACATTCCGCTGTATTATGTTGTTTGGACATGTCTTCGTCGACAAATTAGTCGATGCAGTAGCGACAGAAGAGCCTCGAGTATGGCCTTCTTGCCAGCGGCGTAACAAGTACATATCGTAAGGTTGAATTGTGTTTTGGGCGAAAAGTTCGTTTTCTGGACTTAATTTTCGTTAGTTTCGTTCTGGTTCTATGAAAGTCAGATCAGCTCCTTTTCTATTGTTACCAACTATATAGTATAATCATATTAGACGAAAATACCCCTGGTTTGCGGAATAATTGTTGTCTGGTTTTATTGCTGCAAGTTGTTTAACACAACAAAAAAAGTAACATTTATTGTTCGTGTTGAACGAACCCTATATATTGCTCAATAAACTAGTAGTGATGGCCGGAAAATAGGTGTTTTGGGATAAACAATTAGAAATTCTTAAAAAACTACTTGACCAATATACTTCAATTTTGTTGTTGTTATTTAGAAGTATTAGTCCTACAGGTTTGAAGAATTTCAAGTAGTTGCGTGAAATTATCGTCGCATTACCAATAAGTGACAAAACCTGCGTTTTGCCTCGTTTTTCGGCCATAACATTCTTGCTATTAGTCGGATCTTTTTACGTGTCCCATTTTGTAGGTCTCACAAATACCTCAAAATCTTATATGAAAGGTGTTTTCGTTCCTGTCAACACTTTCGATTGAATCAGAAAAACTCGTTTTCTCACTCTATGTTGTCAAATAAAAAGTTGTGGCCATTTTATGCGTCCATGTTTTAAATGCCCCCTTGAATAACTTGCACCAATAAAACCAGACAACTATTTCGGTGAAATTTGCTAATACGAGGGATGTCTTTTAAGTTTTGCATATGGAAATAAAACTACACGGTAGGTAGTTTTAATTGACTTTATTGTTTTTCGAAGTATTCTCCACGAAGATTAATACACATCTGCATGCGAAGGAACCAATTTTCGAAGCACTTATTCCACTCGTTTGCTGGAACATCCAAAACGGCATTTCTGAATGCGTAAACTGCTTCTTCTGGTGACTGGAACTTTTGACCACGCAGTCTGTTTTTAATTTTCGGGAAAGTAAAGAAAGCGTTAGGACTTAGATCGGGACTATACGGAAGATGGTCCAATAATTCCACGTTTTCTTCCGTTAAATACTGCCTTGTTTTTTGGGCAGTGTGCGAGCTTGCATTGTCTTGGTGGAGGATGATTCGTCTTTCGGGGTTCATTTTTTGACTTTTGGCAAACAAATTGTGGTATACAAATCCGCAGTAACAGAGTGCTCTGCTCATTAAGAGGAATTGTTGCAATATGACCCGCTTTTGACACAAATGTCGCGACCATCTTTTTCGAAACACTTCGAGAACAGATGACTTTTGTTGAAACAGTCAAGCGTTTTTTGACACCAATTAACCCTGGCTGCATTCTGCTCTTCAGTCAACAGGTGGGGTATCCAACGAGAAACTAATGTTCTTACTTCTAATTATTCATGCAAAGTTTTTTGAATTGAGGTCTTTGAGAACTTCAAGGACGCCTCAATCTCGCGATATGTCACATGTCTATCTTCAATGATGAGTTTGCGCACAGCATCGACGTTTCCCTGGGTGACTGCCGTTTTTGGTGCACCCACCCTGAGATCGTCGCGTAGGCCCGTATCGTCAGTCGTTCCTACAATTGTAGGTCGCGTTTATGGCCTCCTTGATTGTCATACCCCTTTCTCTACTTCAAAAATGTCTAGATTGCACCTGTCCCGTGTCAGCGTCAGTGCTCTCCTATTGTGAAGATATGTTTTCTTTTTAAATTGTAGGAAATTTCAGACTGATAAAACATTATATAACTCAAAAGCAAGCACAATTTGATGCAAATAGATATTTGCGACCTCAAAATAGAGCGCTGACACGGAAAAATAGAAAACTATGACAATCAAGGAGGCCATAAAGGCGCCCTACAATTGTAGGTACGACTGACGATATGGGCATAAGACTTACCCGTCCACGTTTGAATTCTCCATACCAACGGGAAATTGTCGACTGATGTGGCGCTTCGTTGCCGAAAACAGACAGTAACTCAGCAAGGCATTCTTGTTGAGATAATTGTCTAAGTTGTAATAAATTATGGCACAAAAATGTTCTCGGTTGAGTTCCATTTGTCCAATGACTTGGTGACACTTAAAAATTAACTGTAGAGAGAACACTGCACGTATTGTGAAACTTTGAATTTAAGTTTACTAAAGAGTGAGGTTAAGATTCAGTACTGAGGTTCGATCCGCGCGGTCTACTATGTTTCTATATGCAAAACTTAAAAGACGTATGATTAGACCCATTCCCCCGTGAGAGAATGAACTTCTGCTGCCGTACTTCGAAACCACAAAAGTGAATGAATATTGCAAAGTTAGATACATGACATAAAGAGCGTTATTTATGTGCGATTTCGGGTCAAAGTTGCTGACGAGGCCTAAAATAAATGACATTCCGTATTCAATTGCCGTAAATCGAAAAACAGTTTCATGTGATTTATTCATTTTATACTCTGCAAAAACAAACTTTTACTGCCTTTTTTCGTAGTTTGCATAATCTATTTATATTATTGTTTCAAAGCAAAAACACAGTAATGCAGTTGAAGTTCACATAAATAACACAAAAGTAAATATTTGCGACATCTAATACTTCAATTTAATAGTTCTATAATTACATTCAACAAAAATAATTATACAAATAAACTAAAAACAGCATTTTTTGTTTGTGTTAAGTTGAACGAAGAATATTTTTCAAAATTATTCCTTCGGACCAAAAGTAATTATTTATTACGATAAATGCGTATTCACAAATTATAAAATTACTACACAAAAAATTAAGTGAGTAAACATTATAATAGGTTTTGAAAAATTAAAAAGCAGTACTTATTTATAACTTACACAGAACAAAAGCAGTATAGTTTGAAGACTACTGAGGTTTTACTTGGACGAGTTGATTTACTGCTTTCATGCTTAGGAAATGTAACTAAAATGAAATATTTAACAAAGTGAAAAAAATCAACTATTTTTGCTAAATTTTTGCATTATATTTGGTAATTGTAATCATAAAAGAAATGAAGTTGCGGAAAATTTTCAAAAAAGGTATATTGCCTTTTACATAAGTACAGCAGTACAGCTCTTTATATTTACCCATTTAACGTAGTTTTAAGGCTTGGTTTTTCAATCGCTGATTGCAAACTCTTGTAAGTTAACTATTAGGCATTCACATAACCCGTAACTGTTGACTTGTGCTTTTTATGATCCTCGACGTTTGTACCTCGTTTCATCCATGAGAACTCATATCACTGTCAATCAAAAATGGTCAGACAGCATTTAACTATATCTTTCGCGTAGATGAATGGTAAACCTGCGCTTCAAGACAAACCTGACACTGAAAATCGTATTTTAAGAGTTATCTTGGGGATAGCTGTAAAGTGACAGTTACTTACAATTGAAAAGTCGGGCCTTAGTAATACTACTTAACCCTAGTTTCGCGTTGTCCTAGAATTACCATTTCCATCCTTTAATTTCATAAAATAATATGATTGTGAGCACATGTCTGAGATGGTGGATATTAGAGCGCCGATAAATATTATTTTATGTGCATCAAGGTCTTCAGCCAACCATACTCTCAGTGCTCCTGAAACCAGCAGTAAAATGGCAATGCGGATACGTGACCGTTAATGTTCAAAGTCTAATTTATTTCACTTAGGTATACTAATTAATCACAACACTTGCATCCAATTTATGAAAAATTTATAATCATGTCGACTTGGCCGTCCGTTGACTGTCCTCCTATCGCCATCTCTGTCTATATTTATTTCCCTATCGACAAGTCGAAAAATACTCTAGCGTTTTCCAGGTGAAGGAGTGGTCTAGATGGCAGCAGACTCATCTCGATGACGTCGAATGCTCTGGAACGTGAACTTGAAGCTCCTCAATAAGGCTGCAATCGCTCACGCGCAGCCGCGTAACTTTGTTTGCCCAAGCGTCGATGTTTCTGGACACCTGTCGAACCTTCTGGTAGATTTACGAGGGTGTCGGTGGCAGCCAGAGTTCCAGTTATACGAGGAAGTTACAATATCGTCATTTCCTCGAGTTCAGATATCGGTACTATTAGTCAATTTCGACTTAACGGTAAAAACAGAAATGGTCAACGTTTTTCTTTTGATCTGTTTCAATTTGTGGAATAACATGTACCGGGTGTCCTTCTAGAAAATGACCTTACCCTAGATGTTTTGTGCGACTGTCTGAAAAAAAAATTGTATACAAAAGTTATAGGAGCTAATGACAAGTTTTTCATCTCTTTTGGTGTATCATTAGAGCTCTCAAATAACGTATTTTTCAAATGGTGAAAGAGTAGCAGTTTTCTTTATGATCACTAACATATGTTTTTATATTCATTACTAATACTTTAGTCAAAGACCATTTCTTTGTTTCAATAATGTATTCGTGCCAATACTAGATTGAGTTAGATGATGCAAACATCTTTAAACTTGGATTCACATGAATAAATCACACAAAAAATTCCAGTGTCTTACTTTAGTCAAACAAACCACACTTGGATCAGAAAAAAGCTGCTACTATTTGCAGCGAAAATATACAGGGTGGCCTATGTAAAAAAGTCTAACCTCATCCGATGGCACTTTTACGAGACAGAAAAAAAGGTATTGCATTAAAAACTTGGTATTAGACCCAATGACATTTGTATAAAACCTTTTTATGAAATGTCACCTAAAAATGTTAGAGGGTCACCCTGTCCCATTTCCAATGACCTATATCAGCGTGAAGTAATAGACCTTAACCTTAATAAGCGTTCGATTTCTGAGATGTGATCCTGCATTGATCCTGCAGTATGTATGTTGTTTGTGTATACACGGTAAATATGAAATAAAATTTAATTTTTACGATCGATATGTGTGCAGCATTTTTGCAACGGGTCCACAAGAGGTAATGAATTTTCTTACAATCATATTATGATTTAACTGGAATACCAGATGCCTTCAGACAAAGTGATCTAGGAAAATGTTGTTTCCCTAGATGAGTTATCAGATGAAACTAATTTACTTACTGGGACTGGGGACTAATTGCATGCTTTTGAACTCACTTGCCCCTTTTTCTCTAAAAGGAGCTAACATGTGTCGAAATTAATCATAATAAAATGATGACAGCATAGCGTGAGAAGTACAGAATCATCCTACTTGACGCGATTTTAGTTACTATGAAACACTTTAATCTAGTACGCCTACGCTACTGATCATTGCGATGCGCGCCATTTTTCTATAGCTGTAGATTTATGGACTGACGCGTGCCAAATGGGTGTAACAGAAAAAGAAACGATCGTTCGTTCTCATGTGGATTACGCGGGCGGTTCAGGATGTCCGAGAACTGCGACGGCAGTCATACCAATGATTTAGAAATAGAGTGCATCACCTTTCGCTACGACAATAACTTTCAATTCAAATCCAATTCTAAAGTTGCTTTGAAATCTAACAAAAGCTTACAGAAATATGCAATTTACCAAATAAGAAACCTTACAGAAGGCTTATCCTTGTGCATGGGAAGGTTTGTATCTAATACATAAATCTAATTAGTGATTTGAGCCAAAATGACAAAAATCCATAACACACGACGTTCAATTTATACGTTGAAAGCAATATTTATAAAAAAAAATGTTTTTGATCATGTCGTCCGCAATTCAGTAATAATTATAGATCAATTAATTGGTGCATGTTCACTCTAGGAATTTCATGCAACCATTTCTTTAGTTTACTTTCAAATCAACCTAATGAACTTTAGTCTCTGACTATAGCCGGTATTTCATAATATAACTTAGGGCCTAAAAAGGTATGACTTCCGAGCAAAGTTTTTTTGCTGTTTAGGAATCACAATGGCTCTATTTCTTGCATTGTGTTTGGTTTTGATCAGAGTTGTTGAAAAATGCCAAGTTGTTTGACGGATGTCCAATATTCGGGATTCAAAATAAAGCAATTATATTGGGTAAGTGACTTTTTTACGAATTATTTATAAAATCCATTTTTGTAACAATTCTACTTCATTAACATATGTTTAGCAAATCTCTCACTATCAGAGATTGCCAGATATATTCATCCAAACAAATTAATGATACAGTGTTGCCTACCTACGCTCTGAACTGACTGGTTCACATTAAGTGACCGTTCAGGGTTATTAGAAATTCACTGCTGGAAAGAACCGACTTGTAGCGTACAGGTTACCTTACTAAAAAAAGTTTCCCAGGCTTGTACATAGTTCTCTGTCAAACAAGGTGGTACCACATAATGGGGCTACAAGAAATTGCGTTAGAGGCACCTCGTCCCGCTAGAAACAGACAGTCCCCGAACATGTTTTCGGACCTAGAATATTTCCTCTTGAGCGCTAGACCACTGGATTCCAGAGCGAATGAGATATTGACCTGTATATCTGGTATCCTGGAATTGATAAAATCTGATTAGATAGCCAACCAGCAGCGGCAGTCAAAGCAATAAGTACTCATTTAGGCGATGTTACAGCAAAGTAAAATGGTCTACTAGTATGGTTGCCGCCTCCGATGATTCATTCAGTAACAAAGTGACAGATAGTCTTACAAAGGTCGGCACCAAAGAAAGATTGTTGGGCTGTAACCTGCTCGCGGATTGACTGCAAATAAAATTAGGACTACGACAGAAGAGTTAACCCAAATTTCTCGGCGTACATCTTCTGCAGATAAGGAAAATTGCTGTCCATACACGTTTTTTCGCGCTTAAAATCGTGGCAGTCGAAACATGTCGGTTGGCGTGCAGAATAGAGCAGTCTTTGACCATACTGGAATAAAATGTTTCCTGATGATTTACCACATGACTGAGCGCGATGCTCTAATTGCAAAAAAAGCACGTTTTTGTATAGTCAAAATACGTCATAAGGCATGTAATTTGGATTGGACTCTTATGAACAGTATCGCACTCAGCTATGATCAACGAATTCTAACAGACTAGGAGCCAAGCATGGCTTGCCGCCAAAATGGCGTAGTTCTAGTTCACTTTCAACTCTTCTGACTACCATTGCCTACCAAAGTGAAACCGTTGTATCAACTATATATCTATATTTCGACAGAAATAAATTACGATTGCTGGACTTTTTACGTCATGGGGCTTGTCGATGAGCCAAGGAAAGTACGTGGGTAGTGGCACAAAAAAGCCCCAATACCATTGCCATCCGAATGTATGCTCAAGTTCACATTAGATCATGAAGTTATGTTTAAGCTATCGTTAGTTGAAGATAAAATATTCCTAACTTCGTCTAACTCTCAAGTAGCAGTTAAATTATACCCAGCATGCAAACAGGGACAAGCAAACTGACAATAATCACAAAATTGAATTAAACAAGGCTTTTTTGCAACAGTGGTGCTCAGGTTCTTATCTATATGACAGTAGCCTAGCTTCTTGTTAACTAACAGCTTTGACGCACATTCCTATATCTAGTTATCTTGTTGTCTCAAGCATTATTTTTCCAAGAAATTTCAGGATGACTACGATTATTTTTGTCGTCCTTCAACCGCAGGCTCCCGAACAAATGACCCATATAAACGTCTGCTAATGTCAGGGTATTTAGTACCATTTACATAAAAAGCCGTGAATGAAGACATGGAATATTCCATATTTTATTATATTTTATGATAGAACCTTTCAAAAGAAGATTAGAAGGTTACCAATCTTATACTAAGTGACATATAAATCCGAACACCCAGTTTAAATGGTTTTATTTTAATAAAAGTTGGTGGACGTATTTATCTTACTGTAAATAACAAGTGAAAAAATTTTCAGCCTTATCAGTTGGACATTCCGGTTTTTATACTGCTTTTTTTTAATTCAGTAACGCTCTAAAAAAGAATATTTTAGCCGCAGTAAAGAATCAACGTTGGCGGATTTTGGTTCTTGACATCCTTTACGATCGGTTACGATGCCTAGAGTACGGAGACCTGTACGACTTCGTCAACTTAGTGAGTTTGATAGGGGCCGTATAGTGGGACTTCGGGAAGCTGGACTTTCTTTTTGGGCAATTGCAGTTAGAGTGCAAAGAAGTGTAGACACTGTGGTTAGGTGTTGTCAGGCATGGCTTCGAGAAGGCCGTACGCAAAGAGCAAGGGGCACTGGACGCCGCCGTAGAACAACAGACCGTGAAGATCGCCGCCTAAGATTATTGGCCTTAAGGGACCGTTTCTCCACTACCAGGTCGATTACAAATGAATGGTTTACAGAACACGGAAGACCCTATTGGCATGCGAAGTGTTTACCGACGAATGAGAAGTTTTGGCTTGTTTTCATACCGGCCACACTGGGTCCTCCCTTTAACTCGAGAACACCGACGTAATCGCCTTGAGTGGTGCAGACAACGGTCACTCTGGGATCAGTAATGGAACAGTATTTTCTTTAGTGACGAGTCTCGATTTTGTTTAGGCATGCACGATGGTCGTGCCAGGGTTAGAAGGCGACGTGGTGAAAGGAGGAATCCACAGTTTTTTGTTGAAAGACATGTTCATCACACTGTTGGAGTTATGGTTTGGGGTGCTTATAGCTTATGGTTCCAGGTCACCTTTAATCTTCATCAGAGGTAACATGAACGCGCAGCGTTATATCCACGAAGTTCTAGAACCCCATCTTTTACCCTATCTTGACACCCTGGCAGATCCAACTTTCCAACAAGATAATGCCCGACCACAAGTTGCAAGAGTCACAATAGACTTCTTTCAACATAATGATGTCACATTGTTACCATGGCCATCAAGATCTTCCGACTTATCCCCAATTGAGCACGTGTGGGATATGATGGGTAGGAGATTGCTCAATTTGCAACGTCCTCCTCAGACTCTAGAAGCACTTCGAGAGGAGTTGGTGGTTGCCTGGCAAGAGATACCACAGGAGGACATTGCCCACCTGATCAGAAGCATGCCTAGGAGCGTTGGAGAATGCGTAGCACATCAGGGTGCATCCACACATTATTAAAGGTCAAAGGGCTTTAAAGCAGTGCAATCATTTTGAAATTTTTATGATTTACCTATTATGCTTCATTAAGTACTTATACAAAATTTTATTAAAATAAAACCATTTAAACTGGGTGTTCGGATTTATATGTCACTTAGTATATATTCTAGGTTTATATGTATAGTAGCTTCAAAATGAAGTAAGGCATGACCCCTGATTCCATTTGAGATTAATTTGATGATTGGATTTCACTCCGCCGATGGGGCGACAAGATTGGTAATAGGCGCAAAGGATTTCCCACTAGAAGTAAAAGTCCCAGCGAATTTTTTCCCACATTCCATTTGGCCCACCCTGTACGGGTGTGACTGTATGTGGTATTATCATCCCGCGACAGATGAACTGCTCATCTTTGAATCGTTTTAAGATGTAACACATTGGATGGTGGGTTTTGGGGGTGGTCGAGGGAAGGCCCATGGCTGACTGCCTTGATTCAGTAACATTGCCAGAAGGTAGGATCGCAGCGTAATCAAATAAGTGAGGGCTATAGATTTATTGTATGGGCATGTTTGAATGATCTTTCCATTTAATTTTTTTTTATATATGTTTGTAGATACACTTTTCTCATAATCCTTCATGAACTGATGATACGTTGCGTGGGAGGTGCAGGGCCAAACTACCTGAAGACTTTCTTTCTGTATGAGTTTTTAACCTTCCGGAAGTGGCGCCTAGTCTGACAGACCCAGCCGCTCTACCATTACTCGGCATGTGTCGGCAATAATCGGTAACATCCCGCCCAGTTAGGTACCTTCCCACATAGGCCTCTAGTGTTCGCATGGCAAGCGAGACAGGTGTAGGTTAAATATTGATGCAGTTATTTTGTAAAAAGTCTGTGAGACTTGGCGCCACTACTCGCGTAACTGTTTTTGTGCTTTGTTGAAATTTGATTCTTTTGTATTTTGGTAAGTAAATAAAGCATTATTTATTGTTATGTTGCTCGGTTAATGCTTTGCATGAGAGAATATCTAGTATAATGTTGATTTTGTCATAAAAGTGTAGTTTTACATAAGTACACACATCTTCAGTAGATTATTTTATTTTTGTATAATTCATGCTCTCCACGTTATTATGGGATGAACTACATACTGGAAGAAGATCCAGATGATGAGGACTTAGAACTGGCTGCGGATGGGGACATGACTGAAACAAGAGACACCGATAGCGAGTCAGAGCTAGAATATAATGATGAGGTCATTTCTCTTCAAACTGCAGAAATTCCAGGAGCTCATCATTTTCTTGGTAAGGATAGTAAGACAAGATGGAGAAAACACTGCACTAAGAAAACTTCACGAACTAGACAAGAAAACATAATTGTGCGTCTTCCTGGGGTACGAGATTATGGAAAACATGCTCGCTCCGAAATCGAATG